TTATCAAATTTTTAATAAACATTATCTATTATTTTATTGTGATAAGGATAGAAACCCTACTACAGGAAGTAATGACATTTTTCTGATGTCACGGACCATACAAAATTTGAAATAACATTAGAAAACTTAATAAAATAATAAAAGAAATCATAATAATAAATCATTCTACATTGTTCAGAATTATTTTGCAAAAATAAACCATTTATTTAATGAGATCATTCTCAGATTTAATAGATAATAAATAATAAAAGTACGCTAATTCTCTTACATTCCACAAAGCCGGGTACACCACAAAAATATGAAAACTGGAGATATATTCAAGACCGTTTTCATTATAATTTACCAAAAGTTATTTGAAATTTTCTCATTTTTCATAATATAATTTAACCTATAAATATTTCATATATAGAAACATAGAGAGTTTAAGGATTAAATTTTCACGGCAAATTATTTACTTTCCTTGCTATTATAAAATTTCTGAAATTTCACAGAGATGTTTGTGTATTAGAGAGATTAACTATCAAAATTTAATAGCACTAAAGATCAAGGGGATGGGGAGATATAGAGGTTTCATGCGTCATATCTTGAGTAGAGTCGAGCTTGTTAATGATTTTATTCGTTATTAGCATGTTTATATTTTTTAAACTCGTCCCTACGCTCATATATATAAGCTAATTTATAATTACTTATTCATAATTACCTATTCATTTATTGATACATCTCACGGATATCCATTATTACTTGCAAAACTGTTGATCATGCACGTCTCTATTCAAAAACATTGCATTTATCATCATTCCTACTATCAGCATCATCAATCATGAGCTTCGAAATTAAAAAAACAATTTCCTGAAAAATTACTGTAAAAGAAAACTTTATTTAGATGTAAATTTTTAATTTATTGAAATACTTTATCGTTTACACTTTAAAATTGAGAAATAGTTTTTGAAATTGTTTAATATTGTTAAATTGTCGATTAATTATTTGTTTATCAAATATTTTACACTAAAAACTCTGTTTTCAATACGAAATAGTACATTAATATTTATGGCGAAAATCCGTTTATAACAACTCATTAGTGCTTTATAAGGGTATTGTTATTTAGAAAGGCACTAAATTTGCGATTTGATTCATATAAAACAGTTTTGAGAATTAATTATTCTTAATTAAATAAAAATTCTTCAAATTTAAATATTAATATTTCAGAAATAATTTTTTAAAAATTTTATCTTTATAAACTCTTATATTTAAACGGAGAAAAAACTTACCTTATTTATTTACCAATTTTAAACGTATCGCAATATTTTTATAAGTTAATATTATTGTTTAATTTCTTATTAATTATCAAATAATAATTAAATATAATAAAACAATATAACCGATGAAATAAGATATTAAATAATATTTTAAAATTTAATTTAGCCTATTACTATATTTAGTTTGCATCATTTTAAAATAATTTTATACATCAAAAAAGTAAAAAAGAGAACGAGCAATTATTTATTGTGACATCGTTACAATGCCGGGCTGCAATTTTTAATTACATTTTTAATTAATTTCATTTAAAATATATGCTCTCTACCTCAAATTAGCCCTTGTACATCATACTTTTCCTTTAACAATATAGTCATGCCGGTCATTTATCTAACACCTTTCAAGGGAAAATGTTTGAATTGAACTAACGTAAGTTCCTGTTGGCATCGGAAGTGCATGTATTATTAATCGGGGTATACTACCGCTACGGTTTCCATTTCTGGTCTCATCTTTTATCTATCTGAGTCTGTTCTGAAGATTATGAAAAGAGAAACAGTGAGAATTTATAAATCTACAATTTTTTTCAAATTGCAGCCCAATAACGTGGATAAACCAAGATTTGTTGTTTAAAAATTGCTGAAACAATGTATAATTATAAGAAAGTTTTACAAGATATGTTATTATAAAATACAAGATTTTATCCGGAGTGTATCAGACTTCAATTATATGAACTTTTCCATCGTAAATTTTCTTGTTTTCAACTGAGTGTAGATCGATATCAATCTTTTTATTGACCACTTTAAATTTATTTTCAGTTTAAGAAGCTCAAATTTACTTGAAATTTTAGAAATTTAATAATCTTTATATTTTATACATTTTAAAAGATCTTTGTAAAAATAATATTCAATTTTCAATCTTTAATTTCAGAATTAAAAAATCTCTTTTATTCTCTTTTCTATTTTAAAAATATTTATTAAATAGTTTTATTCTTAATGCAGAATGGTCATAATTAAAGTTTTCCCATTTAGACTCCGTAGTTATAAATAATAAGCGAATTGTCACCAAAGTTTATATACAGACTGTACAAAGGATGCGGAAAAATATCAAGTATTGCAAGAATTTTAAGTGTTTTATTATATTTAAGGAGTAAAATGATTAAATTACATTTTATGCAGTTATTAAAAAACATTGATCCTATAAGTCAGAAATATTAGATATAAGTTTATTACAAGATAAGATTGACCGTTAGAAGCACAAATACTTTTTTTACATCCAGCATCTTCAGTTTAATCTAATTGGATTGAACTTAGATCTAATCTAAAATTATAATTTTACTTTAAATATAGGTTAAATAGGATAAAGTTATGGATCTTTATCATATTTCATAGTTTAATATAAACATTGTAGTAAATTTAATAGTATATCATAAATTTCGTGTATTAGGAGCAAGAAATTTACTATAGTATATTATTATATTATATTGTTTTGAATAGAAGTCTCATATTAATAAATAATATCTAGAATTTCTCATTCAGAAATAGCATCAGATCCATTCTAATTTCTTTATAATATAGTTTATTAAATTAAATTATAATTTTATTTCTTAATTTTCGTCTGCTAATCACTTATAATCTGTCTTCTCAAGTATAAATTGTATTTGTTTATAATAGTGATTAAATCTTTGATTAACTTTAAAAATAAATTCTAGAAACATAATTAAATTCTTTTATTAAGTTGAAAAATTGTTCTTTTAGGCATAAAAGAAATTATTTTATAAACAATAACGTCAGTTACTCAGCTTAAATCTATAGTAAATAATTACTTAAAATTAAATTTTATAAAATAGATTTAAAAATATCTCGATTAATTCAAGAGAGAAATAGAAGTGGATTAAGAAAATTTCTCTAAAATTAGATTACTTTCAAATGAGGTCACAACATAAATCAATTTAAAGAAAATGGAGACTGTCAAATTATATAAATAACAGAGAAAATCCTTCCAATTTAATTAATATTAGTGTAGATGTAATATAAGATGAGCTCCTTAGAAATGTTTGTATCTGTACAATCAGACTATTTTCATTCATTATTATTTGAGAAATATTTAATGAAAGACAGTTGTTTGCGTTATTAAATATGTTCTTTTTATATCAAAATATGTAGCAATATTAATTTTCTTGATTATTCAACTTTATTTAAAAATCTCAATGTATAGATGTGAATGCAGAGATGTATCTTGTATAAGTTATTTTAAGAGGTGCATACAGTCTGATCTACGCATAAAAATTATTTTTTTGTAGATAATCTGGAGACAAATATATTTATATTATTTTTGTTATGATTTATTTATTTATTTTTAATATTTAGAAAAGAAAAGGAAAACGATTCTCTGCTCTTCCCTATATACACCCCTGTATGAATAAATGTATAATAATTACTGTATAAAATTATAAAACCATATAACTTAAATTATAATTATATAAATCATGTACACAATTAATTATTTTAAAATTTGAAAGTAGAAATAATTAAATTTTAAAGTCAAATTAAATAAATTTTTCTTTTATGTATGCAATTTTTGTTTTTGTTTTTTTTTTTTTACGAACTGATCAAATCATAACTCCATATTTTTCTATGTTTACTGCAATTTTCGGATATTTTATAAAATGTATCTACTTTACACATATTTCTTTATAAACAGGGTTTACAGTTACTGCTATTGAAAAGTCTCATATTTCCTTTTGTTTCAGAAGATACTTTTCTCTATTTTTATCTTTTAGTTTGAAACAATAACCCAAGCCAAAATCAATTTTAAAGATTTTTCTAAAATATCTAAGATTGGAAGATTCTGCATCGTACAAGCCACGAAAGTACACACGAAAGACACTTTTTAAGCTTTAACGAACAATTATTTATTGTGACATCGTCACAATGCCGTGCTGCAATTTTTAATTATATTTTAAATCTATTTAATTTAAAAAAATATATGCTCTCCATCTCAAATTAGTATTGGCTTGCCCCTGTAAATCATACTTTTCCTTTAACAATAGAGTCATGCCGGTCATCTATCTAACTTCGTTCAGGAGAAAATTTTAATTGAAATAACGTATATAGTTAATCGGGTCCTCCTACCCCTAAGGTTGCCATATCTGGTCTCGTTTTTCATCTATCTATCTCAATTCCCGAGATTCACGAAAGACAGACAGACACAATGGAAAATGTGTGTGTGTACAATTTTTCAAAATGCAAACCAATTAATTATTAAAAGTATATAAAATTACTCTAAATGTTACTTTAGTAAGTCATTTAAGCGGCCGCGACTTTTGACATACCTTTTTCTTCCCCTCTTTTTTTCTCGTCACCCTTTCAACTATCAAATTTCAAAGATCGTTATGATATATCACAATTTGATAAATTGTCAAGGTGCAACACGACAACAAACAATTTATTTTCGAAAAGCTGTGTATCATCTGACGTGATCACAGGAAGCATTTACGTGAAGTGATGACACCTATAAAACCTTGCTCCCTACAAATCACGCTATACGATCTCAACAGATTTCTCTGTTTAGAAACTAATCTTATAGTCGTTCGACTTATATATATATATATATTAGGAAAATAATTTTATTTTAATTTTTTAAATTCAATTTAAGATAGCTCTTTACCTTACAAATTTANTAATTTATTTGATAAATTTTTATATATATAAGCAATCGATAAACATAATTTTCTATAAAATCTACGCATTTATTCACAGTTTTTTTTTTGAATTTGAAACACAATTTACATCTGTACATATTGGGGTATGCGATTAAAATTTGACAGATGTTACAGATGAAGAGTAAAGATACTAATTTATTTTCACATTAATCCAATTACATTCATAATTAAATGATCCTTCTGGAAAAAAAGAAATGAACTTTCTTCTTCTGGACGTCTTGATAAGATCTCTTGGACTTCAAAATTACCAATTGGACTGTAGCAATACTGTTGTTTTTATACCTAGTTTAATAATTAAATAATTGTATTTTATTCGTAAATTTCTTAAATAGAGAATCAGTAATCAATGAGAAGCAAATATAAATTTAATAATTTAATTTATACAAAAAAAGTTTCATTTCGTATCACGTCGATTTTAATTAATAATTTATAAAAATATTATAAAATTTTCATTTAAAAATCCAATAATTTGCTTAAAACAATTGTTATTGTGAAAGATATTGGCACAAAAATATCGAATAAAAGTATTATTTCCTCGAATGTCCTCCAGATGGATGCAGTTTCTTATTAGAAATTCTTCTTGAAGTTAATAAATCGATCGCTCTTCGTAAATTATATAGCTCTTATTATTGGCTTAGCCTTTAATAATTATGCAGGACAAATTAACTCTTGGACAAAAAATAAATAAAATCAACTTTTGTATACTTTAAAGAAAAATTCTAATTAGTCTTTTAGTAATATTAGTAAACACTATAATTAATTTTTAAAGAAACTATAGAAAATCGAACATGATAATTACGCACAATTTAGCTTTAAATAAACGAAAATTATTATAAGTTCGATCACTGGAATTTTATTTTGGAAATGCATTAATTTTTTTGCCAATTTCCTTATTTTATTCCCAGAAATAAGTAAATTTTTGGAATTCTACGATAGTTTTTCTTATGGGAAGAACTTCTTATTCTAGTTCTAGAGTAGTTTATAAATTTGTATATATTTATCTACAGACTTATAATTTTTTTGTTATATTTGATAATAAGATCGTGACTACTGAATGAGATACAACCGAATAGATTATTTTTTGCATATTTGCAACGTTGAGGATGTATTCAAAATAACCAAAATAAAATCAATCATTGAGTAAAAATATATTAAAAAAGTTGCAAATAAAGAAAATTATAAAAGATTGATAGAAATACAACTAAATTGAGCTATGTTATAAAATTTTAAATGATAATTTAATAGAAATTCATAAAGAATAAGATGATAATTTAATAGAAATTCATAAAGAATAAGATAAAAATTTAGAAACAATTGAAAATCTCTTCAAGAGCTGATTATTTATTTATTTATTTAGTTTTATATGCCTTTAAAACATTTACGTGCCCTATATATTGTGACACTAACTGAATTAACTTTAGTTAAAGATTAACATCAGTGAGTACAAATTTTTCAAATTGGTCGACAGTCAGCTAATCAAGGGATACGATCGGAATTCCCCTAAAAATTCGAAGAATAGGAGTTCAGAAATTGGATTCTGGAAGTAATTCGTACTGAAATGGAAAGTGACACCAGATAAAAGTATAAAATTTGGCAATAAATGTTATTATCCAAACAAAACTCATATTAAAAAAAGAACAGAGTGGAGGAGAGAAATGGAAGATGAAAAAAATGTTTTCATAATACACAAAGTCGTTAAAAAAGAATTAATTTTATAATTGGATAAGTTTTAACAATTATTTAATTTTTTCATGTTTAAAGATATTTATTTTTAATCTCCTGTTTGTAGAAAAAGCTATAAAAACAGAGGAGAAAGCATAATGTAATAGGTACATCGTCGCTTTTGCAATTGAATTACGTCAGCAAATTCACCTAGAATAACAGTAAACATCACAGTTAATGGATTTTTTTTTTAACTTTCTGTCTCAAGTGCTAAAAGTTATTTGTCTTTCTTACATCTTTTCTGTTTTAAAATAATAATTTTCTTGATTTTATTAATATAAAATTAAAAATAGTGAAGTTGTTTGCTGAGAACATAAAAATAACAAATCTTCAACGTTAATTCGTAACTTTATAATATACGTAAGGAATTAAATTATTATAATTCAATTAAATAAAAATGACGTCGTTTTATATATATATATATACATTTTTTACGTTATTTTCCTTACAATTCTGCTTAATTATTCAGAAATGGTTTTATAAAGAGCGTGTGTCTTAATAAATTCTTCTCAGGTTTTTATCATTTTAATCAAACTAAAGTGAAGCTGGAGATTTACAATTTTATCCTCAACTAGAAAATAAAAGAAAGAAATAATCCAAGTACAAATTAAACTGTTAATATTGATAATGCATGTATTTTATATAGAATAAAAGAACATTTTCTTCTGAATATCTTTATGATCCTTTCGGAAAATCACTAATAAATATAAAATTTGTATAATTAATTTCAAGATCGTACTAGAGTTATATTTAATTATATACATTCTCCCCTATTTTCAGAAAAAAAAAATGTTTAATTCTATTTAATTAAAATATTATTAACATTTTAAAACTTATTTTAACATTTAAACATGATTCACAGACATTAAAACTTAATTAATTTGAAATTTGTCTACAGAATTACATAAATAAAAATAATTTTAAAAAAAAATGTTTAATTTCGTCGACGTATAAATCATTTTATAATGTTTTAATCATTGAAGATTAATTTCTTAGAAATTTTTCCGATAAAATTATTCAGCAAAGTAAATTGCATTTAAATTTACAGGTAGAAAATTGAAAATTTAAAATACTTTTTTATACAAAAGGCAATTTTCTGGGGGGTTCTTTATGATGGCGAGAATTTACTTTTTACATTAAACGATTCTGCAATTTATATGTGCATATCAAAACAATCGTAAAAAAAACTGTTAATGCTCCTATTAAACAACGTAATGTACGTGTTTTCCGACGTCGTTTACAAATATTTCTTTTATGTAGACTACTAGAATCTTCGACTAATCATTATTTCCTATTTAATGGATACCAAAATGGAATCCCAGATAAAGTTAACTAGGATTTCATGTTTCTCTAGTTGAGGTTAGCTCTTAGCTATAATGAGTCAGACACAGAATTATTAAACAGAATTTATCTAGTAAAACAGTTCTTTCTAAATTATATATGTTGAAAGAGAATTTCACAACATATTCACAATGTTAACAATATGTTTAGAAGTATCACTTGTAAATGCATTAAAATTAATTAACGTAGAGATTACTTTTATAATTTCTCTTATATAATACTTACTTTTATTGTAACTTAAAATATTTTATAATTATGTTATTAAATTACTATTATTTTTTTTTTAATTAAATGTTCGTTATTTTATTGGTGTTGCAAGAATTTCATTACAATGCTTACATTGTTAACACCGTATTGCAGCTTGGCTTTTGTTAAAATTACCTGTATTCAAAAAAGTTAAGCTCTTCGTTATATTAAAAAAATAAGTAAGCCGTACAGAGATAAGAAAAAAAAATTACCATTTCCTGATGAAAACTTATATTCTCGATCACATTCAGCGTCAGAAAGTTCACTTCCATCCACGAGAAGGGGATGATGCGTAACGGGTATCTCTTCTTTAATGCTCTGCCATCTTAAGATAAATGAATTTTCATTATATTTTATTTCATTTTAATAAAGAAAAACGTTATAAAATTTAATCCTAATCATGAAAAAGTTCATCAGCTGATTATTTTTTAATTAAAAAAAATTGAAGAATGTAATTAACTTTTTTAAATACATGTTTAAGTAATTTGAAGAGATACAGTAAAATTTACGGTTATAGGATGTTTGGGAGTTATATTCTTATGTATATACATTCAATCTTACAAAGTAATAATAAAATATTTGATTAAAAATCTTCTTTAAATAATTATTTCTTGAAAGACTGCTTACAAAATGAATTTTCTATAATTAAATTTTAACAATTTATAAAAAGGTTCATTAATAACATGAAAGACTGAGGATTATAAATGTGAAAATATTTTGAATTTTCATACAGTTAAGTATTAAATATTATGTATAACCATGTAAAATTATTATAAAGTACATCAAAACTTTCTTAGCTTCTTTAGTTTTTCTATTTTTATAAATAACATTTCAAAATCCTTCGTATACGATAAATTTAAGACAAATATTTTCAATAAATTCATAAATTATATTCATCTACTGGAAAATAATACATTCATACTCCTAATTTTATACGAAAAATTGATTTATAGTTTTCTCTGTTTTAAAATTCTCGATATATTGATTATAAAATACATATATACATCAGGCGAAAGAACTTACAAACATACGTTAAATTCTAGATTTTATGACAGGAATTCAATTTTATACCATTTTAACAATTAATAATCTTCAAGTTGTGTATCCAAAACATTGAATTTTTCATTTATAAATTGTTTATTTCCAGAATATAATTGATATATGGTAGATAATATGCATTACCTATCATTACTTTCAGGAATGGACCATCTATTTCCATTTAATATTTTGCTGTACTGAGCGCAACTTGCAGATGGAGTGGAGTGAGGTCTATCTGTAACAATGATTACAATTTAGTTTTTTTTCTAAATAATTACAAGTTTATAAATTAATATTACCAAAATTTTCTAGATAATAATTTGCCAGATTAAATCATTTAATAAGGAATTGTAAGCATGCAGTGAATTAAATTTGTGGTTTTCTTTATTAAAAGTATTAAAATTCTTTAAATACCATGATGCATTACATCTGTAAATCCATATCTAGCATCACCTTCTTCGTATTCTCGATTCTGTTTAGATTTATCATGTTTTTCATGTTTCTAAAAATATAATTCGAATTTAAAGCTTTAATAACAGATTAAATAACATTAAA